GCATTTTGATCTGGGACGTAATCTGCATGAAAACAAGCGCTCACTCTTCCTGCTCAACAAATGACAAGGGCGGAGCCTTATACCACGTGATACAGAAGCTGTGCGATGCTAAAATTTGCAGGGAAAAAACAACGGAGAGCACGTCAGGGATGACGAGAAAGTGACAGGAGAAAATCCGTCCCGGTCAACCACCCAAACATCAATAACGGGAACCTTATACAGCGCTTCCCTATACACATCGAACTCCCGCAGGCACAAAGAAATTACGGAGGCTATCACTTATCACCTGACCAAAGATACGGCTCCCATCAACACTGTGCAAAACGAGGGATTTAGGAAAATGATCAACACCCTAGACAAACGCTACACAGTGCCGTCCCGCAACTATTTTTTTATTGTTGCACTACCTGCTCTATACACGCAGTGTCGAGCAACGGTGGAGACGGAATTTCAAGCAGTACAACATTTTGCGGCAACAACAAAACGTGAGATATTTGTTGTTTTTATGTTTATTTATTGTTTTTATGTTCAGTCTCAACTGTTACGAAGTTGATGTGCAGTTAATAAGTGCAATAAATATTTATCATGGAAAAGAAAATCGTGAGAGAATCGTGATCTCAATTCTAAGCAAAAAAATCGTGATTCTCATTTTATGCAAAATCGTGCAGCCCTAATCAGAAGTATCATCACAAAATTCCTTCAAATATCTTAATACAACTTTGAGTCTATGCTACACAATCCTAACGCAGATGTGTGTACACATAAGCACATACACACAAAAACAAGCGCACACAGGTGAAAAAGGGGTCAGTATATAAAAAGAGAAGTGCAGGTAAATTAGGAACCAGCAAACAAGAGACAGGGAATGTATTTAATGTTTTATCATATACATACACTTAATGTGAGTATCATATATTATTCACTCAAAGTACAAGAAACGTATCATGGAATCAGGTATGGACTTCACTGGCAGGTTTCCCTGCAGACTAAATGTCAGTTAGGAAACATGATACCAAACATGGTTACAACTGATTTCCACAGTTTTACTTCCACAGAGAACGGCAAATAAAAAAAACCCAACAACAACAACAAAAAAGTCATCTTCTAGCCCTACTTTGTAAAACTGTGCCAACGTGGGTGAGGCAGCAACTTAACTCAACATATGGGTACTGCATTTTGAAAAGAAGCTCAAGATCTGCCTAGGACTCTTGTCAAATTAGACCTCGACAAAGACACATCTGAATATCTACATGTACAAGATGTACGACACTAGGCGCCAAAGTAAAACATCACTTCAGTGGCAAAGACATCACACCTAGCTTAAGGAAGGCTACACACCCTGCCCCGATCTGTAACTGTGTTAAGATGATAGCCGTCTTTACTTCTACCTGAGCTGCTTAGCTGAATTATTCACATAGCCCAATGCTCCATTTTCACTGTGGGAGGTGGTTTTACGTCAACAACCCCCACAGCACAGAACAGGCCCTGCTGTGTCATGCTACTATGGCAACATCACATAAGCACATGATGAGCACAAATGTTTCAGCTACAACTTTCTAGTTACAGAGCAAGGCTTAGGGGAAATCAATAAAGTTCAAGTTCATACCATCACCCTCTCAACTCAAGCATGGTGCTCACTACCAGATAAACCCAAACTATGTTGACATATTGCGCCTTTGACGCCGACAGTGAAAGATGAAATAAAATGTACACACTCACAAATTATGTAAAATGGATGTGATAATCTTTATAAGAATATAATTTCCGATCCTATAAAGTCTATCCAACTTGAATGCATATTCCTTTACAGGCTTTTGAACATGCAAACAGGAGGATCAAAAAACCCAACCTTTAATTACTGGACATGCTACCACTTGAACCACAGATTACCCAGTGAGTCATAAGTTTTTGTTTAATTACCAACGCAATTAGCAGCAGCATCCAAAAGGAAGTTCACCATAAATTTACACAAACATTGCTAATAATGGCCCAATATAATATCTCAAATCACAATAATCTTATTACATAAGCTAGTCACAAAAGGCCCTAACTTTACATTTAAGAAAATGTACTTATACAAGCAGTTATGGCTATGCTATTTGTCTGCCCTCACTTTGACATTAGGTGATATGTGAATGCCTTGAAACTAAGTTCTTTTCAGTGAGTGTCTAATGTGATTTATGGTCAGTGCTCTCAAGACTAGAACTAGACAAAACACCAATCTGTTCATTTTTTTGTGGATAAATATAGACTCTTTGTCATGCCAGTAAACACCAGGAACAAAACATTCATACTGGGCCTCATTAAAATGACCTCAGTTTTACTGCCATTTTCAGGGTTTCTTTGTGTTTTAAAAATCTGAATTCTCATCAAAGCCACACTGTTGGCAATGCCATTATCCATGGTGCTGGAAAATCCAGGGAAAACCCAAAAACATTAAGCAAAAAAGCAGAAAAAAGAAAAATCCACCCAACCACTGTGGTGAGGCTGTATCTATTAAGAGCTTCGCTATGGTAACAATACAGCACAGGCATTATGTAACATGAGCATGGGAGATGATACACTATATCCTTCAAACCACTCTCCACATAACCTCACTTACAAACAACGTAACACTCGCACAGAGTGAGCTGACTCATTGAACTGGGTCTTGTATAACAGCAATAAGAAGCAACAGCTACTTTCATCTGCTCCACACGTATAGGAAACAAAATGCACTGCAAAATATTATTATGACATCTCAGTTTGAATACAGACAATTCCCCCAACCAAGCTGAAAACATACATGCTTACCAGTGCACACTGCACGTGCAGTACCAGCTATCATCATGGCTAAGCCAACTCCTCCTCACACAAACCCACAATGGAAAGCAGGTGGGATATACAGCAAGAGAAGAAAGCCATGAAGTACTGGTTTATTTAAAAATAAGACTGTGTCTGGAGTCAGCATATTCTTTCAGCCATACACCACCAGCTAAGATAAAGGTCAAGTTAAAAGGTACAAAATCTCAACATACAAACGTTGAATACTCAGCAAAGCCCCTCTGTGACATTCATGTGGCATTATTGTCAGGCATGTTAGGGCACATTTTATATCCAGGCTCAACAGCTGTTCTATAGACAGGGGCACCACATAGGAACACACCCAGACACACACAGGAATGTCTGAATGTTTTTTCCTGGATCTAAATGTGGGTTTTCACATACCACATTCTTCACTGGCCTGAGTGACCTCTCTGAAATCCACCAGCAGCCCATTTTAACTGCACTATGATCTCACTTTTGCTGCTTCGAGATGAAACACACACACACACACGTTCTCCACAGTTAAACAGGTCAAATGAGGAGCAAATCCTTTATGTTATGTAACAGCTGTAGCTCCACACTAAACCTCAGCTCTGGTAGAGGAGGGGGCTGGGGAGTGGCTAGATTTATCTAAAATAGAGAAGTTGCACAAAGCCATTGGTGGAATGTTTGTGCTCTAAGGCTCAGTTTTACATTCACACAAGTTTCTTCACCTCAGGAAACCCAGACTTATGTATCCCCATTTCAACACCACTACCAGAAACACTTTTGAAATAACTGATAATGTGCTACGTTCCTTACAGGGCAATAAAATCAGAACTGCAGAGAGTGTACTGTTGGGTGTGTGTGCTCCATTAGCTGCTGGCATACCCCTTATCCCAGCAGCCTCTGAAGAATTGCACAATGAAGAGTTTGCAACAGTTCACCCGACCCAAATGACCTGCTTGCTGAAACTTGCTAGTTGGAGCTGTGATGAATAAAATTGCCAGCGTTCTGTCCCGTGATTAGCAAAAAGCAAATAATTTTGCTTTGGAAACAAGCTTGGATATCATTATACGTGTCACAAACAAGCCTACGAGTCCACAATGAGACGGCTATATACCAAAGAGAGACAAGGTTGTTTTTTTAGTCGACCTTGTGGTCTACTTTGTTTTTAAGTACAGAAAGTCCTAAATTTATTGTGTCATAATGCGAGCATATAAGCTTACAGCTTAACAATTTAATTAAGTTCTACATTTCAGTTCAACAATGCGTCCTGAGGTTGGGAAAGCTGTTTCATAAGCACGTTCTTGCTTTCACAGAGGCCAGAAAGACAAGCCAAATATTTCATGACGCTGTTCCTCATATAAACATTTCAGTTCCTCTGCACATTATGCAAGATCAGCCAAGTTAAGGGCGTGATGCACTGAGAACTACTCAGATGTACATCCAGGCATGTACATAAAAAATGCATACAAATACAGAAGGGGGAAAAAACAGCTCCCAAGACATGTCAATGAACTCCCAATGAGAGTGTGCAGGTTGTTACAGACCACGTCATTTTACATAACAGAGAAGGCCTAAACACACAATGCTCAGGCAAGACCTCACTAAGCCCTGTGAGAAACGGGGAGAAACACACAAACAACCATTACCCATGGGAATAAGTCAAATCACTGTGCTAGCATGTTATGAAGACAAATACCATGACATTTCACCTCGTGACATATCTGATCTTCCTAAAAATATTCTACCATGTGAAGCTTATTCTGAACACTTTGTACTACTGGAAACCAGCTAGGTTCAGTCTGATGCATGCACTGATTGGTTTTTTTAAACATATTTAGGGGCCTTTTTGACAAATGTGAGTCCTATTCAAATTTTTTAAAAGCCCATAATTACAGTAAAACTAAAACTTTAATTGTCACATTACAGGAAATAAAAATGTTTACCATAAACATTTATCTCAAAATTAAACATCATGCTTCTCTTATGATATGGTAACTGATAACGCTGCATTAAAACTACAGGGAGTAGTGAAGGCTGCATTCTGATCTACAATAACAAAGCAAGTTTACACAGCAAATTATTTTAGAACAGCTTCAAAATGTCTTTCAAAGTATGAACAGGAATGCCTATCATATCACGCCACACCCACTGGTGAATGACTCCCATGAGTCTTGATGAATGATTCAGAATTGAGTGAAAGCACTCACCTGTAGTATCTGGACTGCAGATAAGTGGAACAGACAGCCTTGGAGACATGGCTGGCTGAGCCAAAATCAATGACTTTGACTCTGTAGGGCTGTCTGGAGGGGTCAACCAGCATGATGTTCTCTGGCTTCAGGTCAGCGTGAATCAAACCCAAAGACTTGAGCTTCTTTAGGGCTGTTGCCACCTGCAGGAATTAACACAAATACAAAATATGATTCAAAATGGTGCTCTGCATTTTTTTTTAGCCCATTAAAAACTAGGTGTGCCAGCTCTAAAAGCATCATCATACAATATGTCCTGTATATTATGGGTTTCTATGGCAGAAAAGAAAAGTTTGTTTTACCTGCTGCAGAATAGGCCTGATGATTTTGAGTGGCAGTGGGCTGAACTTGTTCTGTTTAAGAAAGTCATACAGATTTTGCTCCAACATCTCAAACACCAGGCAGGTGTGGCTGCGGTGCTGGAAGCACTCCAAAGCACGCACCACATTGTGCTCCTCTGCATTCTCACTGCTCAACCGTGCCAATATCTCAACCTGGAACAAAAGGAAATAACATAGGCTCAGACTATCAGCTGTTAAAAGATTATGGGAGAGAGAGGAAAAAAAGGCAAATTGAACCGTTTCTGTTGTTCGCTTTTGGTGTGATGCTGCAACAAAACTGTGGGCATGCACAGAGTAACACAGCAGCAGATTTCAGCTAACACACTAACAACAGACAGTAATTCACAGTTCCTCACCTCAATCTGTCCCTGACGTGCATAAGACGGATGGTTCTTCAGTATTTTAACAGCCACCACTTCACTCGTTCCCCTCTTCCAACACTTTACCACCTGGCCAAAGGTGCCACGACCCAGAAACTCCAAAACCTCGTAGCTGTTCTTCTGGGAACACAGAACCTCATGCTGAACTAACTGGTAGTCACCATCTCCTGACCCAGCTCTAGTCACTGTAGCTCCAGCCACTGCCTCGTTACTGCCATTTGGCCTGATTTCAGATCCATCCACCCTGATTCCAATGTCTGTCACACCTTCCACCCTGTTGTGTTGAGCAGGCATCCCTCCACCTCCTAATCTGACAGTGTCTGCAAAGTTCCCAGTGTTGGTTTGCAACATGGCCACCGGAGGAGGAAGTGAAGGCAGAGCAGATACCTCCTCCACTATCTGCATGGTTCCGACACAGTTGTTTCCCTGCAGTTGTTCTCCACTTTCACCTGTCTTCTTTTCACATTTCTGGATGGCAGCTGTGTCTAAAAGTTTGGTGTATCCTCCTGGCCTCGGTACTCTTCTGTTTCTACCACCGTCCTCTTGCGTTCTGATACAGGCCCTACTCAGCAGCCCACAGTCCAGGCCTCCTCCTGCTGGAGTACCACCACTGTCCCTATAAAGCCTCACTTCCTGTGGGCCTCTGCCTCTGCTCTGGCAAAGAGACTGCTGATCCTGGGTCCGAGTTGGACCTTCTCCTAGGTTCTCTTCACTCTGTATTCCTGCAGTCTGCAATGCCCACAGCCCCCCTTCTCCGAGCTGTATTCCTGCGTGCAGTCTCCCTGAATCAGCCCCGACTGAGGATGGGACAACGTTGTTGGGATATGCAATACCGTAGTTGACTCCGATCACATAGGTTTTGGGTGGTGGTCGGTGCTGAAAGGCTCTGCTGGTGTTATTACTGCGGTGGGGTTCACCTATATGTCTGCTGGTACCACTACTGCTGGTTCCTAAGGCACTTGTTTGAGCTGAGTGCATCTGTGATGGGTAGACCAAGACTTGTGAGGCCATACCTAAAGAACAGAAACACAAGCCACATTAATCATTTAAAGCATGGCAAAACAAACTCACACCAAAATGCTACATTCAAAAAAAAAGTAAAGAGTAGAACCAAAGTTTTTTCTTCTCCTTCACCATTCTCTCGAGCCAAGATTTTAAACAAAAAGAAAAAAAAAAACACCAAAGGACACCAGAGCAAATACACTCATCATTAACTCATCATTTCACCATTACAGGAAAGGGGAACTGGCCTCCTGTAATGAGAGATGGGGGAAGCCCGCTGCATCTCTGGCCTGTCTCTGCATGCTATACTCAAGGGTCAGTTTCACACAAGCAGAACCACACTGCAAGCAGTACTGGAGGGGAAAATAATCCACCATAAAGGCACGATGAGTTATCAACCAGTGACATTTTACAAATATGGCAATGATACTGAAGGAACAGTGCTTATTTAGATTAGCATCAAAACCAAAATCAGAAGTAACACCATCTGTAAGAGAGGACGCTGAACTGTAGTAGCTACTGCTTTACTTTATGGCCTTTGCAATGCTGTAGTCCAAATGATCTAACAACGATTCTTTGATTAAGGCACACCTCACTCCCAAATCCTAGAAGCATATTAGACCAAAACATGCATTAAAGAAACTTACACAATCTTCATGTCAAGCACTCACTTTTCTATTCAGTGCTTTCTACTTTAGGTAGTTGTCTATTACTGATGTTCATGTATTAATGGAAACATTTGTTCAGCATACAATGTGATCTTTGCTGTAAAAATGTAAGAGATCACATTTCTAAAGTCAGAACACTGTGGTAGCACACCAGGCGTATACTAGCTAAAGTGTGATAACGTGGTTAGAAACCAATGTGACACAATGTGGGGGTCATGATAACTGTGTATTGATAGTATTAAAGTATTAAATATTCATGTCATGCCTATAGCACAAATAGGCTTTCTCAAACTGTTTTTATGCTTTTGTAGAGTTACAGTTAGACTCATCACCTCCATCCACTCGGATTTCAATTTTAATTTCCCAAAACAAACGACAACAAACACATTCAGTTATAGAGCCAACTAAAAGAATACAGACTTTTTTTCTTAAAGATTTTGTACAGATATCTTTTTTGGTGTGTTTCTTTTTTACCAAAATAATTGTGGAGTGAAAATTTAATACTGTGATAGCCCTGGAGCACAATCTACAATGTTTATTAATGTTAGATGCTTTGTTGAATTGGATTACATGTTTTAATAAATCACAAATGACACTGACGTTATAGACCAAGGTTTAGGCCAGTTTTCTCAGCTGACAGTTCAAATCAAATTCAAATTAGATGTAGGCCTATTCAAACAACATGGATGTGTATTCAATGTTCACAAAAAGACAGAAAGGCAGTATAATTTTATGGAAATCTAAAGCATAAATTTCACTGATGGTTTTTATTGGGTAACTGAATTTATAAGAGATGGGGTATGGGCAGGAGGCTTTTTTGGGGGGAAAAAAAAACTTTCAGCAAAGTGTAATTCAAGTTGTCTTGATAGGATTAGGACTGTTCCATGACCACTGGGCTCTGACCAGCCAGTATCAGGTTTCTTTTAGACTAGATCAGGTGAGCAAGGACTAGATCAGGCGAGCAAGGACTAACTGGTGGAGAAGTGGAATAAGAAGAGGGTCTCACCACACTGAGTGGGGTTGAAATCAACCAGGTAAGACTACTGTGGCTTGATCAGTTTTTATATCTGAAAACAAACAGCAATCTTTTAATTAATCCTTTATTTTCTCTTCCAAACTGAAAAAGTACCTAATGCCCCCAAAGCTGAACAAGGACTTTTGTTAACCCTTAAACTCTTTTAAGTGAGCAATGTCCATCTGTCCCACAAAACAGTTAAATCATTGACTAGAGTGGACACATTAGGCTGAATTATTAATTATTCAGACCTTAATGAAGCACTGCTGGCATTACTCACATCTCCCTGGAAGTTAGGAATATACAAACAAAGGAAAGTGATTATGCAGCCAAAGAACAAACATGCTTGATTTAGTTTTACACCAAATAGGATATGATTAGAGAACAGTGTCAGCCATTATGTAACATACACATTTTTTTAACATCCCATTGTCTAATGCTACACACTACTATAAAATATTTGCCTTCATTTATTCTTTTCCTGCAACTTTCCTTTCATTGCAGCAAGTCTGTACACCGCGATAACAGGCATAGGCAAAGGCTGCAGCCATACTTCCTGAATGCCCGTGTTTGGCTGGGTTACATTGGGACTCAGGTGATTCCAGTTTGACGCTCATGAAGCCGGCTGCGTTAAGCACAAAATTTCATTCCAAGTGCCAATGCAGGTTGAGACAAGCAGAGGGGTGTGCCTCAAAGTCAACATTAAAATAAAACACACCTCTTATTACCAGCAGGGCTGATGTGTTTCACTAGACAAACTGCTGATGGACAGTAACACTTGCAACCACACTTTTCTCTCTCAATATAGATCTGTATTCAGACTCTGGTTAACAACAATATTACTCAGAGCAGAAATGAGCTGGCAAATAGCTGTGGAGTGTGGCTGTAATTAAAATTCTTGCTGACATCATTGTAGTCTAAAACCAAACCCATATTTTTCCACTGCCTCCCTCACCGCTACCTTTCTTCATTCAACAACTACAGCAGCAAATTTAGCAAACACTAAAAATAATCTGATGGTGCTACAGGGAAAAAAAAAAGAAAAGGCGACACCACCATATGGCTGATGCCAACATCTCCACCTTCCTACGCTTGCCAATATGTCATTCCAGTCTCTGGGGGCCACCGACACAGCCAGTGCTGCTCTGCCTTCTCACTGCCAGGCTTAGGTAGCCTGATATCCCCACAGGATGACGAGACCCAAGCCTGAAATAGAGAGCCACGACACACACAAGTGTTTGCGTGTTTGTATGTGCTCACGGGTCCAGCTAGCGTCCACCCCACAGTTTGTTACTGATCAATCTAGAGAGGCATGTTAGCACACGGGGAGGGTGATGTGTGCCTGGCTGTGTGTGTGTGTACGTGTTTGGGGGATGGGCAACACCAGCCGAGACACCTGTTGGAACTTATAAACTGACAGGCAGCAAAGTAATTTACTCAAACTCACTCAAAAATACAAGTGCGAACTTTTACAGGTGTTATATCTTTACTAAGGGACAAAAATGTGTCAAATAAAGTCGTTTTTTCAGTACATAACTTTTTCAAGTTAGCATAAGTTAACAAAATGCATAGCTAAAGTTACTTAAAAATGAACACACATGAAAGGGCACACTAAAACCACACACCTGAATAGCTACCGTGTGCCCTAGCTCTAATTAAGCACGTTTTTATCGCCAACAGTTTCCAGCTACAGGGGACAAATCGAAGTTAGCAGCTGTTAGCAAACAAGCTAGCCATGAGCGAAGTACTGTCAACGTTAAAGGGACATATGAAACAAACACCAGCGCAGCACACAAAGTCCATTTGACGCCCAGCCTTGCCAGATAAGGTGACATACCTTCAACAAAACCAGTAAATCGTATCGCCCAGGGTGTGAAAGAGCTGGCTAGCAACGAGGACCCGCACCACAGTCGATTCCTGCAACGGTGCTGCTCCTGCTGCTGCTGCCATCTTGTTCAACGACGAGGACACACCGAGCGACTTTTCGCACATTTGAAGCACTAAATAACGCAAATAACTATCTATTACGAGAGCCCGACGTGACCCATGGTTTCCACAGCCGTCTCGGGTTGCGCCCAACGTCACTCTTGTGCCTGCTTAGGACAAGGAATCCGTTTTTCTAAACTTTTGCATGTTAATACGCCTCGTCCCCCACGGAGATAGCTGCTGGCGGGCGGCTAGCTGTTGCTGCTGGTTCGGTAGCTTGTTGCTTCTCCGCATGTGTGGAATGTTGGGGAGGGCAGAGGGAGGGGACAGTAAAATAATAACAGTGCTGTCTCCATGAAACACTGACTGAGCTGCAACGTTTGATTTCTGTTTAGATATGCCAGAATTAAAACTTGTTTTTAACAATCTGTTCATTTCATCATCTTTTGAACTTTATTACAGTACTATGAATTTGTATCCACTCAAAACAAAGATGCTTTGTTTTTACACGCATGGCTTCATCAGCCCCCATGTTCACCACAAGTCAGTTGATAATGTTTATACTTCTTTTAGCTCATTCTAGCTCACTGTGCTGGCATGATCCCCATGTTTAAATAAAACACTCTCTAGCTGAGCTGTGACAAAGAAAATGGCACAAAGGACAGTCGGTGGCATGTAATAATACACCAACACAGGAGTACTGGTTGCTTCTGGTTCTCTGGTCCTAAATTAAAGTTGCCTTTTGTGTTAGCGGTGATCAGCTGAAGCTTCTGTGTGCTGCTATTTTTGAGTCTTTTTAGGGAATCAAACAGAATCACTCATCGGTAATAACTGGATTGCACACCAAAGTGATAAACACAACACTCAAAGATGTTTAATTGTTGTTTAATTCTTAAATAAAATGTAAATCCAAATGTTTTGTTTTCTTCTCCATCACATCCACAGTTAGTATACATACAGCTGGGGGAATCAGATCACATGTATATTGATGCAGAATAATTGAAAGCAATAATTGCAAGTGTCATTTTGCACATTACTTCATAATACTTTGCAGAATGTAGCTGCTAATATGTGGTATTAATATATTCTTGGATTTCAGCTGCTTTGTTCAGTGTGGTCATGGAGTCCAGTGAGTGTAACCATCATATTAGGTACACCTGTTCAACTGCAAATATATAAGCCAAATAGCATTGCATTGTAGCAACCTGCTTTTCAAGCTGAGCATCTGAATGGTGAAGAAAGGTGATTTATTAAGTGACTTATTAAGAGTGTGACATGGATGTGAGTGCCAGAGGGGCTGGTCTCAGTATTTCAAAAACTGCTGATCTACTGAGATTTTCCCACACAGGGTTTTTGGAGAACGGTCCAAAAAAGGGAAAATATCCACTAAGCAGGAGTTCTGTGAGCAAAAATACCTTGTTGATGTCAGAGGTCAGAGGAGAATGGCCAGAGTGCTTCAAGCTGATAGGATGGCAACAGGAACTCAAATAACCAAGCCATGCAGAACAGCGTCTCTGAATGCACAACAGTCCAGCCTTGAGACAGATGTGCCACAACAGCAGAAGTCCACACTGGGTGCCACATCTATCAGATAGGAGCAAGAAACAGAGGCTACAATTTGCACAAGCTCAACAAAATTGTAGTTTCAATTTATGCTGTGACGTTCAGATGGTAGGGTCTGGATTTGGCGTAAACAGTATGAAAACAAATGTTTTTGACTAACTTTTAGAATATTTGAATTTAATTCAAATATTACATGAACTCTTTGGGAATGTCAGCCTTTTTCTTTCGTTATTCCTTCCTCTTGAAAGGTTTAAAAGCAACTGTAAAATCTAAAATCATAGTGTATAATTTTAGATATGAAGATTGTTTTTAATACATGGCTGAAAATCCTTTGCAGTCAATGACTGCTTGAAAGTGCACAACCTCGCTGAACCACCTCCCTTGATACGTTATGCCAGGCCTGCACTTCTGTTAAAACCCTTAAATTAAAGCTGAAAAATGTAAAAAATTATAATTGTCCAATAACGTTCAGAGCTTACTCTATGTAGATTTAGTAGTAATTAAGATTACGGACAAAATGGCAGCCAGGCAGTCATAATATAAGTGAAACAAGTTAGCTATTGGATTAGCCAAAACACACCCCAGTGCAGTTCAGGACAAGACAATGCATGTTAGCGTTACAACAGTGCGAACTTAGTCAGCTCTAAAGCATTCAAAGTGCATGCTCCCATCATGCTGTTGCACTTATTTCTTGGTTTCTTTGTAGGCATGTTCAAAAACATTAAAATAGTGGTCATAATTGCCAACAAAACTTAATTCAAACACACGCTGTTTTGAAGAATAAGCACAAGTCTCCCTCTGGTTATAAATTGCTCTTATGCAAGTATTTGATCGCACGCTTTTTATTGCACAAACGCAACGCCTTGTACTGGTTTTTAAATTTGAGATCTGGCGCCACCTACCGCTATATAAGTGTATTGCATGCAAGCAGCCTAGCGATACACAGAAGAATGCACCAAATCTGATTGGAGTTAATAATGAGAGCTCTATTATAAAATCTTTAAACGTTTTATTTCCCTCACAGTGTTTTTGATGAACGCAATCAAGCTCTTTGATGTGAAGATGGATTCAAAAATAAACACAGACTGCTGTGTGGGATGTAACGCTTTATTGTCATGTTCAACGAACATTCAAAGTGTAGTCAGTGTGATCAGTCAGAGTGTTATTCATTTGGGGAATGGCTGACGTCATTCTGCCTGGAGGAGTGAAACAGTGTTACAACCAGCTGTGTGGTAAGTTGTAAAATATGCACGAGAAGTGCTTGTTAAAATGAAATGTTCCAGCTTCTTAAAAACAATCAGAAAATCAATACGTAAACATCAGTTAAATTAAAATAGTTCGAGTTGGTCAACAACACAAGTCCCTTAGTAAAAATTACAGTACAACATATAATGCAGGTTATTTTCATTTTATCTAATATGCCGGAAACTATCTCACTTACTGCGGGTACAAAAAGTCTGCACACCGTTATTTCCAACAGATAAACGGATCCTTTTCTTTTTCTGTGAGCAGGTATAGAAGAGATTCAGATCATCTTTTTGTTTGTTGGTTTTTTAAGTCCAACCTTCATCATTAAAGGAAACTAATTGACTTTATAGTGAAGAATTTGTTTAGCAGGGTTATTGTACATATTTCTGAAGCTACTGCAAGGAGTCCCCTGTCTGTTTAAAAAAAAATCCACTAGTACTTACAGATGCATGAACTAAATGCTACAAAAAGATTAAGGTGTATAGTTTTTGTACCCTCTGTATTCTCTTTCAGTTCCAGTGTAAAAGACAGCATGCAGGCATTTGCTGTCTTGCTCATTCTTTCGCTTGTGTGAGCTACACAACTGCTTAGAGTGCCAGTTAAACGGTGCCACGAGCAGTAAGTTTAAAAAAAGGTAACGTACTGATGCTTTCTAAATACTTTAAGGCTTTTACCCATCACATATCTCACTGAAGGGGTCAGCTTTGTCAACTCATCAAGGAGCTCTCTGCCAGTGTTTTAGAAGAGCTCCACCTCACCTGTCAGGAGCTAACAGGAAGGAGCATTCAGGCAGATTCACTAAAACACTTTCCCCCCCCCACAAATTCGTTTTAAAAATACTCAGTGACTTGTTTATCCTGAGTAAACAGATTCCTTTTCAAATATACTTAAATGACCCTTTCTAAGTAGAGATTGTGGCTCTTTTTTGATAAATAAATAAAGCAAACATCTGTGAAATACCATAACATCTCCTGGCAGCTCCTGACAGGCGGGGGCAGCACTGGAGCTTGTTGGATGTTGGGGGGAATTTCCTAAATTAGGAAAAAGGATTGTGTAAGAACAGGAGACCTGGGGGTTCAATTGTAAAGTCAGCAGTTTAATTTGCTGGTAATGACAGCAGCTAACTTCTTTCAGATCCTATATCTTCCTACTTTGGGACACTTTTATGATACATACGCTGACACTTTATCTTCCTGAATTCTTTCTTTAATTGAATATTGCGCAAACTAAGTCATAAGGACTCTACCACGTATGGTAAAGATGCAGAATACCCCAAAATATTAGTTCTGGGTATTAAACTGTTCCGAATGATACCCTGCCATGCTATAATACTGAATACAGGCTCATCCAAGACAGCTGCTAATAGGTCACAAATATGAGGTTTGACATTTTTCCAAGCTAACAACTTTGTGGATTAATGTAACTGAGATGTGAGTCTATTTTCTAATCGACTTGGTTTAAGGTGCATACTTCTCTGGGCACCTCCCGTGACTGTTTTCTTTAAATCTTAACCGTTACTAGTGAGAGGAAACTGCAAAAAATCACAGACTGCTCTCCACATTTCTCTTCTCCCTCCCTGCAGAGTTTATGTGTCTGTGCCGGGACTCTCCCCTGGTGCCAGTATTTTCTGCAGGGTCTTTTGATAGAATGGGGAGAAGACCAGCTTGTTGTAGTTGACAAGGCGACTGAAGTGAACAGCAAGCTCTTTTAGCTCCTTGCTGACTGGAGCCAGACCTCCTGGCAGAGGAGGAGGGGTCTTATGTTGGCTGGACTCCAGGGAAGCCAGAAGGTAGTTGTGAACCCGAGATTCTGAGAGGAGAGAAGAGAGTTTAACTGTCGCTGACAAACACCTTCACTGAACTGTGCACCGCTGGTGTTGCCTCTAAGGAAGTAAGAAGTAAGTGCTCTTACCCATCAGCATGCGGACTGTGTTGTCTGGTTGGATGGCGGCGGAGATTTGCCCCTTCAGAGCGCTCTTTCGGTCAGCTGAGAATGGAGAGTAGCCATGCTGGCTTAGACACTGACTCAGCTCAACACACAGTTTCTCCCCAATGGTTGCCAAGACCTCCTGTGGACTAAATGAACTTAGGACAGATCACAAAAAAAGCTTTAGTTTTATAACAATACAAGTTGTTAAGTTAATAAGCTTCACAACAAAAGCCAAGCTTTATGCATCTTCTATCCATAGTTTTCAGTCATGTAACTAACTCGCTACCCTAGTGTGCAAAACCTTACTCCATTATGATGGCTAACAGTGGACAGTCGGTAGTATTGTGGGACAAAAGTGCTTTTTTCCCCATCTGTCTTGAGCCAAAACTTCTTGGATTTTTTTTCATTGGAGAAAAGCTACAACCTTTAATATATAATAAACTTATTTTACTGATACAATTAACTTTACAAAAAAAAAGCTGTATGTAATCAGTACTTCATAGCCATCTAGCAAACACTGTCTCAAAAAATTGTAACTGCTTTGGCCTCTTGCTCTCATGTTCACAAATTAAGCCAATTTAGAATAAATGGCATGGCTGTAGCTCAGGTGGCAGAGCAGGTCAGCCACTAATCAGGTCGGTGGTTTGATCCCAGGCTGCCTCCTGGCTGCATGCCAAATATCCTTGGGCAAGATACTAACCCTAACTGGGCTCAGTCCACGAGGGCCGGTGTCCCTGCAGGTTTTAGATCTCACCTTGGGTCCACACACCTGAATCACATGATTAGTTCATTACCAGGCCTCTGGAGAACTTCAGGACATGTTGAGGAGCTAATTTAGCCATTTAAATCAGCTGTGTTGGTTCAAGGACACATCTAAAACCTGCAGGGACACCGGCCCTCGTGAGATTGCCCACCCCTGTACTAACCCCATGTTTGCCTACTGGTGGTGGTCAGAGGGCCGGTGTCCGGCAGCCTCGCCTCTGTCAGTGTGCCCCAGGGCAGCTGTGGCTACAATGTAGCTTGCCATCACCAGTGTGTGAATGGGTGTGTGGCTGAAAGTAGTATAAAGCGCTTTGGGGTCCTTAGGGACTAAGTAAAGCGCTATTCAAATACAGGCCATTTACCATTTAAATAGTTAGTACAAAGCACATCTTTTAAAACTGTTGGAAAACACACAAACTCCACAGAAAGGTTCCAGTTGACCAGAAAAAAATAAACAAAAAACCCCTTAACATAGTGACAGCAAAGTCCAAAAAAGTCGTCCAGAAATTAGTGGTCCATCTTTCATATACAATTCGTGGAAACAACACTACTCTTGTCTAAATGAGGCTAAACTAGTCACATCACCACATCTGTGAAACTGATGGAATCTACAGTGGCTCTTTATTTTTGCTGAATTCAGATCAGGCACATTGCAGAATATGTCAGCATGGGACCTTTCCAGAGAAAGTTACCTTGAAATTCAAACTAATCCTAAGTCGTTCAATTTACGCATTAATGCAAGTCAAATTAAATCCACTCTGGCTCAGTCATATTTGTCCACCTTTGTTTATTCACATAGAGAATAATTAGTGCTTGAGGAAGTGAACTGAAAGAAATGAAGGCAAATTTGGCCACTGTAGCTTTAAATATAAAAAAAAATATATATATATATATCTTTGTGCTTACGGTGTATGCATGTCTGCAAGCAAGACATTAACAGTGTTTTTGAGGGTCTCCATCAGTCCTGGCAGGCCTGAGATGGCCTCCCCAGTTGTAGTGTAGACAATGAGCAGCACAGAGGAGAGAAGAACCAGCTGTTCAGCCTCCTGCTGCATCTCCTGGAATCGAACCTGATCCATCAACACCGTCTGTAGATAAAAGCAGAGGAGAATTTAAGGATGAAGAGTACAACACAAGAAGTGAAATCTAAACAAGCACTGAGATACAATGAACCAGGATTGATTGGGTTTACCTCCGGGAAGGGGTCTGAGTCGTGGTCCCACCTGAGCAGGCGAAGATAGGCATGATTATGAACACTGAGGGGGTGGAGTGAAGAATCAGATGCAGCACCACCTGTTGCTGCTGAGTCTTGCAGGCTTTTTACTGTATCCTCAAGCCATTTCTCAGTGAAGTCTAAGGCATCTGAAGGAGAAACGATCATTGTTATTATTCAGTATAATAATAGCAGTACTAGTCAGCGGTATTACATCATTATAGAATATAATACAGGAGTCTATAACCAAGATTTTTTCAGTTTTCTGTATTGTTAAATGTAAAAGGTTCAGACTACACTAGACAGAAGGGCTAACATACAAATATTTTGAGTAGAGCAGAGATGCACAGTGGTATAAGATGAATTATTTAGTCTATGTGTAAACACTGCATCAAATCAAAGCTGTTGCGTGCTGCTGAAATTCACCTGATTTTCAAAAAGTATAACAAAGAAGTGGCATTCACACAGGAGTGACTACACCCCTGTACATCACATGCTTTTTAAAAGCATTCAGTCATTGTGTAACTTATAACTGCAGTATTCGTGGGTTGACAGATTGAGTATTTCCCTTTTGTAAAAAATAAAAAATAAATACGTTAATAAAGCAAACAGTCAAATTTGAAGATGTTTGGTTACAGAAAAATACAATTTTGTATCCTTTCTGATCTTTGGATATCTCACAAACAGCAATGAGCAATTAGAAAACAATGGACGCCACAAACTGCATATATAAAACACGCATATAGCTGTCACAATGTTGGCTTGTGAAGTCAGATTGCAAAGCCTCAAGCGTTTGTTCAGGTTTTGGCATCCAGATGTCAAGACCCCCGCTGCCTGATTCTGATGAGGAGCATAATTAATAAAATAAAGATTATGTTGTATTTGATTGGACTGGAACCTGGATGTTGAGCTGATACAGTCCTGAGTCACAGAGCAAGAAAACTGAGGGCCATACTCCAACAGAAATCCACATAACTAGTCTTTTTGAGTCACCCTTTGCTGGCCAATAAAAAGAATACAACCTCAGTGGAAAGTCTGACTTTGCTTCACTTTTCACATCTGGAAGCTACATCCATGTTTTATACAGTCTGTAGTACATCTTATTAGAGCTGCAGCTCCTACAGTCATGTTCTGAATGACAAATGGGCAACTGTGTCAGTCTTGCTACAGAGGTAATCAGTGGGTATCACAGTACTCAAGATGGTGCAAAGGACATTGCACAATGTTAACGTCTACAAATCTACCAGCTAATGAGAGATATGTTTTGGGGTTCTGTATTTCATATTGCAGGTGATTAGTCTGAATACAGTAGAATTAGACACTGCGGGTTTTGTGCTATTTAAATAATCATATGTAATGTTTAAAGCTAATAATGCTCATAACAGTAAATATGAAAGTTATATCCCTTACTTGGTTGTTTCTCCAAAAACTCCTGGAACTTGTTCCTCTCATATTCAACAGACTGTTGCATCAGATGTGGTCTGATGCTGCTCAGGGCAAAGTTAGCCATGTCCACCTTCATCAGGTCCAGCACTGAAAATATGGCCCTAAAACATGACAGATGGAAAAAATGGGCAAACTCTAAGCACTGATGATGAAATATACACATTTCATGACAAGCCAAACTTTTAATTCAGTCTTGGCAAGTCTGGATCTGTACTAAGAAGTTGTTAATAGCGCTTTGAGCTATAATCAAAGAACAGTCGCTCTTATACAAGCTGAGAGCTGCATGGTCTGATGGGAATGAAATTACACAATCTAAAAATAAACCACAGCCTGGAACATGCAGAGCTAATGATGACCTGTCTTCCATGGCTTACTTGAGCAGAGGCACAACTTCGGTGATCTGCTTCAGCTTCTGGATGTCCTCGTCTCTGCTGGGGGCGCAAAGTGAGCCCATCATCCACACAATGAACTGGGACAGACGACCGATGTCAAGAGCTCCATTTTCAGCTTGCTGCTGGATCAGGGGCAAGTCCAAAACCTCCTCAATCTGAGAGCGCAGACGACCGTGGCCTGGTAGCAAGAAAGACAGCAGTGTCTAAAAGAGGGGAGACGAGAGGTTAAAAGAGGTTGGTTAAATCTAGAGAAGGATGATTGAAGAATACGAATGAATGCAGGCTTCAGCATCTCACCTCTTTGATCTCAGCCAGAAGTTTGATGGCGTGTTCATAGGACGGTGGATCCTCCTTCAGCTGGGCTTCCAAACAATCCCAGAATGCTTTGTGCATGATCTCCTTCACTCTGCGCTCCAAACTGTTCCAGAACAACACGCATGCTTTTATATCTGCAGCAAGAAAGAACTCACACTGAGGAAAAGATCCAGTCCTCACCTTCCTTCAGGAAGCTCCGCGGGTTTGATTTGAAAAGCCTGGTTCACCATTATTTCATGAGCCAAAGCCATGTTGGTGACTCCTTTAGCTGTCTCCATCAGTTCCTCCACAGAGACAAACCTGGGTGGGCTGGCTAGAAAGAGAAAATGTATATATTTGTACACAATTACACGTCATTCTTTCAAAAGATAAAGTTTCCTTCATCTGGAGAACACACTGGATATAAACTCATTTACTGAGCGCATTATCTCTCACTTCCAAATGGATTTAGTGTGAATGTTTTACAAGCAGGCAACACTAAGTGCAATAAGCGTTGATCTCCTCAATTCATCAGTCAGAGTCTAAACAAAGCTCTCTGTTCAGCAGCACACCTGCCTTTAAGCAAAGCCTCTGTTGTTGTGGCTCACGGCCATGAGCAAAAACAAAAAGTCACAATGTTCCACTCTTGTGAAGTCATCATCTGCACAAATCTAAATCTGGGAATAAACACATGAGAACATTTTCTACATCAGAACTGACAAAGTTAATCTTTTTCCGTCTTATACAAGTCCAAGCTGTTTTTAAGTGGACAACACTGTGTCACATATTTAGTAGTACTCATGTGGATATATGGCTTTGGAGGAGTATTTTGTTTTGAGGTTTTTTTTACATTTTCGAGGGCTAGCATCCTCCACAGCTGGAGCTAGAATTGATGTTTGGACTTTCCAGACCCCTTTGCAAGGTTTTT